CTAAATCTAATGCAGAGGTAACCACCCTTGACTATTTCGCGGCCATCGCTATAAAAATACAGTTAGCTTTCGTCAAAAAAAAAAAACAGATAATAGTGACTTTTAGCTCCGTCCTTGTCAACTTAAAGTTTGCTTATAGTTAGATACATTTCCTGCAGGGTATATCCGACTGCTGTTTAGTGTTGAGCTTAGCTTCTGTCTGAGCGTTGCACATACATATGTATGTGTACGTAGATACATATGTATTTATTTTGTGTAAAATCGGTGGAATTCAAACGCTTGCACCTTTTAGATCTTATATCTGTTGTATGTGAATGTCAATATATATGTACATATTTAACATCTGGGGTATTCACAACGGTGTCGTATGTATGGTATTGTTGTATGACGTAAACTTTAAGGTACCATCAAAGACATGTTATGAATTTTCGCAGTGTTAAGAAATAGTTGGTTGTGGTTTTAAGTTCTCTAAACATTTATTTAAGCTTTTAAAGTTTACGACATACAACAATACGACACTTACTACACCATTGTGAATCCCTCAATTGTTTCAACGCAAAATCCGCCATGCGAGTCTCCACTATGCGCAACAACTCTCCGAAGCTCTGTTACAAAAGTTGGCTACATTTCCGTTTGGTGGCATTTGTGTTTATAAATTGTACGTACATACATACATATGCATGTATGCAGTTAAAGCAACGAAACCGGTTCTTTGACTCCGATCAATAAGAAAAACAATCATAAAGTACGCTCCGCGAAAAAGTTAAGGAGCTGCAATCGGACACTTGCCCACAGATTAATTGTAAGTTCATCTAACGGTCGCGAAGTCATTGGAGAAATACTCTTATCAAGTGATCGAGCCACGCTTGTGGGTGTCGGTACTTAACTATGCACATACATATACTATGTATATGTCTGTATGTAGGTACATATTTAGGTAATAAAATTTAATAAAGACATGCTAGGAAAGATGAAAGAAGTCTACTCTATTAGACAGGCGGTTTTGCTAAAAACTATACGGAAGGTTGGAATTAGAAGGTCATATTAGAGAATTGTCATTAATATAGAAGAAAAAGATTTTTCGATTCGCCACATATGCATGCATAACGAAAGCAATGACTCCCACGAATAAATGTGGCATTGAGAGTTCCACGCAAGAGACTCTGAGGATGGACTGATTTTACCTAGAACTATTTTTTTCTGCCTGTTTCTTCTTATTTGGCACTGTAACCGCGTAAGCAATTTTGGGCGCATTTAATAAAGCACGCTGGAGTAGCTGCAAAACTGTGAAGGCTCAGTTATGCATACTTGGCATCGCATGAGAGTTGTCACATAAGGAATCTGTTAAGAGTCTTGCGTGTATGCGGTTACCCAACGCACAGCATTACATATCGACAGCTCGAAATAGACCCATCTCAAAAAAATTTTAAAGAACGCCCTATTTCAGAATTTTATTGAAAAATACCCCATCTCAGAATTTGGTTGAAGAACGCTCTATCTCACAACTCGATTCAAAAATATCCTATCTCACTTGAATCTGTATTGAAAATATGCTGTGATAGGGCGTTTTTGAACCGAATTCTAAAATAGGGCTTTCTTCAACAAAATTCTGAAACAGGGCGTTCTTCAAAAGTTTCTTGAGATAGGGCATTTTCGAACTGGCTGCCGAGATAGGTCGATCTTCCACACGGCAGTCTACGTCAAAATGGCATTCTATGCAGTGCACTGCAAGGTATGCATAGCTGAGCTATAAGCTACATAATGCAAAATGTAAAACTGAATTTCGCACTTAGCTGCTCCTTGGGCGTTTAGTTTTTCGCCTAACCTAATCGTATGTGGTTCGTTACTTTTACTTTCAAAGGAGCTCTGACTTAGATTTTTCAGAAAAAAGTTTTAGGAGAAATTCTGGATACACTGCTTTATATAGGAATCTCACTTTGATCATAAGGCCTTCAAGCCTCTTTAAAGCCTTAGTCTGTTATAATGTATGTAAAGTAACTTGCCGCTGTGATGGAGTGGTTCAAGTCCGGTTCAACCAATATCAAAAAATAAAAAACAAACAAAGTTTTTTTCTAATAGCGGCCGTCCCTAGGCAGGCAATGGAATAGCAAATCTCCGAGTGTACTTCCGCCATGAAAAAACAGCTTCTTGCACGTCGCAAATCGGAGGAGAAGCTCGGCCAAATACTAACATATCGAGCCCTAACCACTAAAAAAATGTATCTAGATTCTTTAGGAATATTTCCGCATCAAAAAGAAAATGTTGACAAAAAAATTTCGCTTACGTTATTTTGCCGGTTAGGGCTCGATATGTGTAAGCGCTTTAACTTGAAATTAGAAGGACGATGTTCACATTTCTCTTTGTAAATAGCCAAATAGTTTCGGTTTAAGTTGACCTACTTTTTGAGTTCCAGATCACAAAGAATAACTTCGTAATCAGCCATTTGGTCATTTGGCTAGAAAACTTATGATATCCACAGGCTTAGATCCTTCATGAACAGACGGGGCTGGATCCAACCTTTGAGACTATTGACTGGTCTCTGTGGTTAAATGGCTTGTTTTATTTGATGGAGTTTTCTTTCCTAAAAAAAATGTTGTCTTTTCATTAACCTCTCCTTAGTATTTGTGCGAAAAGGGTACTGAGAAGGCAACAGTTGTCGGTAGAAAAGAAAACTCCTTTAGTTTTTCATTAACATTGGAACGCCCATTTTGTTCGCTACTGAGCTGATGACCACCTCACGTGGTACCTGCAACAAACAACAAATTTATACACTCTGTTCTGTATCGTGAGCCGAAATTGGCATAGTGGGTGTTTTAGATATATGTTAAATTTTCTACAGGAAATAACTTTTTAAAAGGTATGGAACTCAACGAATGATTAAAACTCATGAAATTTCGAAAACTCACTTGCAAAAATCTAGTATTTACCGTACATTACAAATTTAAATGTGCCAAATTTGGCACACCGGGCGTTTCAGTGTTTAATGTTTCGGTAAAGTAAAAAGGGCGCCAAATGTATGACGTGCCAGAAGGGCTTGGACTTTTATTAGTACCAATCGCAAACGGTGTTTTTATATTTTAGTAGGCCGCTGTCGCTGAGTGGTCAGAGGTGCTTACTACTGCCAAGCAAGACTTGCGTTTGATCCCTGATCCGAACAACATCTAAATTAGAAAAAGTTGTTTCTAACAACGGTCCTTCTCGGCAGACAATGGCAAATATTGGCAAACATCCAACATTTCGTCGATGTTTTTGCAAAACCGCCCATCGTCCAATTGCAAAACCGCCTATCTTACGACATCCAAATTTTACAGGTTTTTCTTTGAAAGCATTGTCTTGATATCCGGTATTTTCTTTAGCTGTTATTTTAAAAATCTGTTGTTTTAATAACGATTTTACGATTGGTATGCATAAATCTCGATGCTTGGAGTTCAGGGCTACCAAACTCCATTTTTGCCACAACGGCGATTTACGCGGTTTCCAATTGGTCGATGGGCGGTTTTTCAAAAACATTGACGATTTGCCGTTCGGTGGCGGTATAAATTGTAGGCTCCTCCATTTGTGTAACAACATTGAGACGTACACCATAAACTGAAGAAGAAGCTCGGTCAAACAATTAGCAAAAATCTAAGCGCCAAAATATTATTATTAGGGGCCGTTATAATGAGGCCTTTGTACTTAATTTTTGTTCTTTAGTTTTATTACTACTTCTTCAACCAAGTTCTGGGATAGGGTGTTTTCAATCAAATTCTGAAATAGGTCGTGCTCTAACCAAGTTCTGAAGTAGGGCGTTCTTGAGCCATTTTCTGAGATAGGGCGTTTTAGAACGGCTACCGAATTATTTTCTACTTTATCTGTTTTTACCGTTGTAATTTTCTACACTTTATTTTTTTTAATTGCATTTTTTTTGTTTTAATTTCTTCTATTCAATTTTAATTTAAAACTTTTTTTGAGTAGGTTCTTTCCTTCGCTTTTTTTACACCCCGGAGTTTAAAGTATTTTTTTCAAGGCAATTTTTTTTTTTTTGCCGAATCTAGGCGCGCCTTTTTACATTTTTCGGTGGTACCTACTATTTTTTTTAATGGTTCCATTGGAATCACCAAACCATTTCCTTAGCAAAATTGTATTGTTTTTTGGCGAGCTTTATTTAACAGGCAATAGGGTGATAAGAAGTGAAATTTGGTGGATAAGCACTAGAACGGGGTACTTGAGGTCAATGAACTTTAGAATAAACAAATTTTAATTAAGAACCGACTATAAAGACGACTCCTACATGCGACACAATTTTTTTGTTCGAAATTGCCTTGCAAAGATAATTTAGATTCGAACTTTTTTCCTACTACGGTCTAATGTACATACTTACTATTTATTTAATTTTTTCTCCTTATTTTTTTTTTATTAAAATTTGCAAATTTTTTTTAAGTTTCATCTTCATCTTCAAAAAAAATTTCCTACTAACAACTCCACTACATTCGCTTACGTTGCGCTTTCGAAACTTTGCTTACAACTCCACGGATCCGTATTATGCTGTGTCTCATTCTTTAGCTTCGTTCGTAAGATTATACAACAAAGTTTTCGCTCAGCTGCTTTGAGCCCGGTTTTGTTGCTGCTTAGTTTCTGTTGCTGTTGACGGTTTGGCGCGCTCTCTTGTTGGTTGTGTAAAAAAATATCGTCAGCTAGGTGGCTTGGCTTTGCGCCGCCGTTTTACGGGCAGTGTGTTTGGCTGTGTATGAGTGTAAGATTTATTTATGTATAGCTATGTTGTATATATTCAAGTAGGGAGTAAGTTATGTTAGCCTGGGAATTGGCGTATGTAACTCAGGGGGTATGTACATACGTATGTTTGTATTTGTATATGTGTATGTATGTTTGTATGCTTGCTGCTTTGAGCCAGGCTTGTAGAGACGGGCTATTGTTGTTTTTTCGTAATAACTGCTGCATATTCGTATTTGAGCTTTCAGTTCGTATTTGACTTCTTGTGCTTGAAATGGTTTCTGCAATTGCTCACCTTGAGCGCGAGTACCTACTGCCAGCTAGTATCTATCTATTGTACATTTAATTAGTTGACAAAACAGTAATTTGTTCTCTTTTAATTACATTTCTAAATTTATTTTTTAGTAAAATTCTGTGTGTTGGGTAAGCAACAACTTTTACAAGCACAATGCAAAAAAAAAATATCAACTAAAATAAGTTAAAGGAAATTAGTGTTTTTAATAAAAAAAAATTGAAGAAAAAAGTTTTAAATAGCAAAAAGATACCCGCGTAAACCCTAAAATGCGGAAAGGTATCGCGTAGTGCTGTCGTGTTTTATGCGAAGAAAAGGTGGCTCTAAGGCCTCTTTAGGCAATTTATCAAAAAGTGCATTGGACGCGTGCTGGCTATTTTGCCAAATGTGTTACTAACTAACTAAACAAATGTCTACGTCAGTACATTCATTTCAATTTCAAACGCGTTTAATGTATTTAACCTTGTAATATCTGCATAATCTAGAGTTTTTTGTTTTTGTTTTTGTTTTTTTTTTCTGTGCCACACAATTTTATGGAGTTATTTTAAAAACCCGACACGTACAACCCCAGACATTTGTGTATACATATGTACATATGTATGTATGTATAGACATATCGAAATGTGTGTGTATATATGCAATGTTTTTTCAAATGTTATAATTTGCGAAAAAATTTGCTGATAAATCAAAGTATTTAATTAATGTGCACTGAATACTGAAAAATATCGAATAAGTTGAAAGTGTTGAACAATGTGCAATAAAGTGGCACAAATGCAACGCCCGAGCAAGCTGTAAGCCCGAGCTACATACATAACTGTGGGTTGACTGAGTGCGCTATATGCGGTGAGCTGGCTAGTTGGCTGGTTAGGTGTCCTATCGCGCATGCGCAAACGCTTGTGATTTTTTCGCATCTGTTTGTTTTACAAGTTGAGCTTGTTACGTTTACTTGTGCTTATGTATGTATGTATGTACATAACATAGCATAGCAATCATAGTGCTGGTAATTTTGTGCCAGTTTTCTTGATCGAATTTGGTTAGCGCTGCGGCCACTGCTACTGCGACTTTTCCACGTTACAAAAGTGAATGGTGCTCGAAGCCGCTGTTAAATTCGTATTCCTGCATAACATAAATACCGAGCCTCACACACACATATGTATGTATCTATGTATGTACATTAGATCGTACCGGAAAAAAAGTCGGCTGTACATCCCTGAGTATAAAGTATTTTTGGAAGGCTATTTCGATTTTTCGTCACATCTTCGGCATTTATAATCACATCTCAAGGTATGATATTTCGATATTCTTGTTTCGAGGCGAATTTTTTTTTATTCTAAAGTTCATTGGCCTCAAGTACTCCGTTCTAGAGAGTATTTACCCACCAGGCTTCAGTTTTTATCACGCTAACGTACCACCCTAATGCCAGTAAATTAAAGTTCTCCAAAATTATTAAAATTTTGCCAGGGCAGTATATTGATTATTCCAGTAGAAACATAACAAAAAAAATTCATTCCCGAATGTAGGTGTCACCGAAATTTTAAAAAGGGTGACCCTTAAGTTCGACCAACAAAAAAAAAATCGGAATTCGCTTGCAAATATGTACAACTCTTGACTCACGGATGTACTGCAATTTTTTTTATTTACTTTTAAGGTGGCGCGTTCTAATGTACTTACATACATAAATATGTATGTACGCGCAAAAATACATAACATAATATAAACTATTAATGGAGCAGCATTAGCTTGGCCTGCCGCTGTGCTTTTGCTGTTTTTTTTTTTTACTTCTCAAATGCCTGCAACAAATCTCAAGTCTTATGTACATACATATGCACATACATACATACACATGCATGTAAGCATATACAGTATCATCCGCTTAATTGCGCATGAAAGAATGAACCAGTTTTTCATATATTTTCCGGGTAACCCATTAGTTGGGCCTCGCTCCATTGAATACAACATAGTTATTCTTTAAAATAAGCCGGTGAACCATTTCAGCGGGGCTCAATTCCCTCTGTATATACTATGTATAAACAGTCACATAAAGCTACAAATATATGTTTTTACATATGTAATCTTATTGGCCTGAATGTTGTTAGCCATTGATCGCTTTTACTTTCTCAATGCTGTTTTTGTCTGAGATTTGTTTTTGTTTTGAAAACATTATTGCGCATTTTCTTGTTTTTTTTTGCGTTTTTATTTTAACTTTGCCAAACTAAACGCCAAATGCAAATATCGACACCAACATAGATATTTATGAACGCATTTACATATACATATCGCATTCGTTTGCTGGAAGAATAACACAAGTTAATTATGCATGCCGCTGTAACCGAGTGGTTAGAAGTGAGTATTTCCAGTCGATGAACCTAGCTAGGCTCAGTCCCTGGTTCGGTCAACATCTAAAAATATAAAGTTTTGTTAAGAGCAGGCAATGGCAAACGTCCGAGTGTATTTCTGCCATGGCAAAAATGCTTTTTTTTAGTTGTTGTTTTTATGACCAGCATAGCTCTCTCACCTATTACCTGGATAGTCGTGGTAAACGACGTCCTCGCTTACGCTGACGACGTGGCACTTAACGCGTGAGGAAAGTTTCTGGGCACTCTGAATAACCTGGAAACACAGAGCCCGCCTTGTAGCCCCCAAAAAAAAAAGGCATCATGTGTGCTATACTGCGGTAAAAACGAGAAAGTGATAGCGTATATCTCCAAAAGCAACCTATTGCTTATATGAAAGCATAATAATGAAGCCGCAGTTCGTTCCGACATCAGGCTGAGAAGCACTGGCTTCTCTATTAACCGCACGTGTGAGCAGTCGACAATCTTAAGAAACTTCCAACGGATGAAACGGATCCTTGCAAACTGTGGTTGGGTCCAAAATAATCCGTCTCTACATCCATATCATACATAAGAGTGAATGAGAGTGTAACAGTTTGTGGAATATAAGTCCAATTTACATCCTCACGGATGAGTCCTAAGTAGGACGACTCTCTTAAAATTTTGGGTTTAGACCAGCGGATTTCAGATAGAGGTTACCGCTATAAAGAAGGCGGCCGATAGATTGGCTTCACACCAGTGTATTAAGAAGGGTAAATATCTTATCAGATAGCCTAGCGGCAATCAGGGTTCTAAAATCGTTCGTGATACAATTAACCACTGCTGGAGGAATGACCTTCGACTACTTGAAAATCAGGACCCATTATTTAGTAACGTTGCAGGAAAATTTATGCCTGATGAATTGGCTAGGCGGGTATTCGCCGTAATATTTTTTTAATCGACTTCAAAAACAGGGGGAGGTTATCAATTCGTCGAAATATTTTATTTATTTATGTTATCGCTGTTAACTTCGGACCTCAGAGGTGGTCTCATACTAATTTGGTTTAGATCCGATCATTTGATCATGAAGAAATTAAAGGCATGTACTCTTTAATGTTTATGAGAATTGAAGTCGGTTTTGTTTTGTTGCTTAAAAATCACTTGTTTAATCATCAATCGATACTTAAATTGCTCAACTGAAATTGGCCCTTTATAGGAAGACGAGGTGGATTCATTTCATCATTTCCTTCTTAGCAGCCCTGCTTTCGCTAGACTAAAGTTTCCATCTCGACAAGTATTTCACCAACGCTCCCGCGGAACTCTCTGGAGTAGATATATGGATTACTTGCAGTTAACGTTCCGAAACAATATCAATTAAGTAACACAATGCACAACATAAGAAATGAGCATTTTTCGGGGTTGTCACCTAACCTAACCTATTATTTATTTTTGTTCAACTCATTTTTTTATTTTTATTTTTTTTTTAGTTATGACGTTCTTCCAGCAATCGAGCAATATGTATACATATGCTGATTTAATTCAGTCATTCCACCCATCAGCAGCAGCAACACCAACGACACAGTTCTTTTTGGGTTGCGAACGCTCGGAAGCTCGATTAGCTATGCGTTTGGTAATTTCTTTTGTCAAAATATTACCAAACTTTAAGAGCGAGCACAGAAATACAAAATTATATACATACATATAGTGCTTATCACAACTATGCGCCACCCACATATGTATTGACAACTTTTGACTACTATTTTTAAAATTATTTTCTTATACAAATATAGTTCATTCCATAACAGAAACCAACTACATAGAAATTTCAACCTCTGTACAAAAAAAAAAAAATCAACAAATTTTCATCAAAACTTCTTCAAACTTTTCATTCAGATTTTTTTTTTTAATTTTGGGGCATACATTTTTATAGCCCATTCAATTTAAGTGCAAGTTTCAAGTGAGCGTTAATTTTTGGCAATTTGAATTTGAATAAGAAAAATTCAATGTAACTTTTTGAAAAATTTACAATTTTATACAAAATAAAAGTAACAGATGTCAGAAGAATTTTATTCAACTAAAACTTATTGCGATTTTTGTTCAACTGAGCAATTATTGAGTTCAGAAGGTGTTGTATACTGTCGTATTGTTGAATGTCGTAAACTTTTAAAGCTTAAATAAATATTTAATACATGCGTTCCTCAGAAAGCCGCATAAAAAATTCGCATAAAAAATTTTTTTTACTTTCATAAAAAAACAGGGGATGCATTCCAGCATTTTCAAAAACCGCATGAATTCAGATACTCCATGTAAAAAATTCTAAAAAACCGCATAAAAATAAACTATAAATATATAAAATTATATTTTTATAAAAAAAAAAAAAATTATAAAAGTTAAATTATAAAAACAAAACAGTCAAAACTTGTCAATATGTGGGCGTCGTATTGTTATGATAAGCACTGTATGTAAGTACATATATGTATATGATACATACTATCTACTGGATCTCGTTACCTACGGTAATAAACTTTTGCTCAGCAATAATTACAGCATTTTTATTATGGCCGTGCGTGAGAGTTTTACTCAATGACGACTCTTGTCCGTTTGAAATGGATGGAGTTGAAGACTCGATGACTGACTGGTTTTGTGGCGTGCAAACGAGAAGTGAAGTGAAGTTAACGCGGGCGAAATAAATCACAATAAATTATAGTAGGTAGTTACATATGTATGTATGTATGTACATATATATGTGTAAAAAGCCATTCAATTATTTGTTTGCGCATATCGAACGCGTTCTTTAAAAATGTATTAGCTCGAAATTTACCTTCTGTTAGAAAACACAAACCCATTGTTTCTAAGGTGGGTGTTAAGCGTATGAAGAAGAAAAACTGTTTCGAAGCAAATTACAACAAAACAAGGCTTCAGCTTTTGCTAAAAGGTATACATATGCACAGGTTGTATACACGCTGTGCCTATTTATCAAAAATTACAGATTATGAGTTGATGCACTTTAGTGGAATGTGAGCGATATGCATAATTAAAAAAAAATACTGCATTGTTCAACGAATAAAATATTTCAGCGGCAAAATAAATTTAATTTTTTTTTAAGTTAACGTTTTTATAAAAACTTGTTTTCATAAGCCCCACACATGCCATTAATTGATTTTTTTTTTCGATTTACATATTTCGATTTTTTTCAAAAACTATAAAAGTTTGCATCACTTCTACTATGACTGGCTGCACTGTACGCGAAGGATAAGACGAGTTCAATGGCCGCAATCAATTAAAATGACACTTGTTTTCCATAAAAAGTATATAAACACTTGAAAAACTAATATTTAATTTAGTCACACGCATGTAAACATAGACAACTACTTGCGTTCGGGTTAATAGCAATGCAAAGTTTATTTTTAAAATGTTCATGTTTGTATATGTATGTGCATATATAGCAACATTTTTGCGCCAGGTGGATGGATGTATATGTATGTTTGGAGCCATAACATCTGCATTTGGATGCAGCTATGTGCTCGTATGTAACTACAACTTGTTTGTAAAAATTATGTAAAATGGCGTTAAAATTGTATTAGGGCCTCTTAAGTTTATGCGGAAGGTCGTAATTATTTGAATTTTTAAAATCGGTTGGAAAACCAAACATTGTGGTACGCTTTTCCATCATCCCTTATATCCTTTCTATCCTATCGGAAAACGTTTGAGACGGGGACATTTTGGAGTCATTTAACCCAACTTAAAAGATAGGGTAGCTTTTATCCCGATTACACACAAAGGGGCGTGGCACCTCCTATACAGACGGAATTTTTCATAGAGTACTGGAACTTGGTATAGAGATATACGAAATCAATACTATACTTATGGAAAAAATGTGAGTTCTTGGAAAAGGGGCCGTGACACCTGCCATACAGACTGAATTTTTTATACCACCACCTGTTAAAAAATTAACTTCAATTTTAAATATTTTATCTGTTAAATGAATTATTACAAAATGGATGTCGATGGAGTCGTTATATTCCACAAATGATGACTCTTAGGAAAAAAAGGGGTTTTAGGGGGTTTAGAGATAAATGCATAATCTACACTTTTGTCTAACCTGAAGCTGAAACATTGTAAACATCAATTTATGTGACCTTTGACCTTGAATAATTTTTTTTACAGATATGGGATCGATAAGAACTTTTCACATTTCATTTATAATGACGTTCGTAACATTCGTATCAATTTTCAGCTTCATGCGAGTTACTGCAACCCTAAAAATCTACCTTGACCAGGCTAATAGACAACAATTTTGAAAATATGATTTAACTAGAGTAGCGATTAAAAAATATTAGTTACGCGGGTTATATGTACTTCAATTGTGTTGACAGTGATCACTTATTAAAAAAAAACTGCTATGTTGAAAAAAAAAATTGATTGAAAAGTCCTCATCTAAAAAGATTTTTGTTTTAGTTAGTTCAGCCTTACCTTAACCTTAAGTTATTTCCCTGCACTGCTTAAGAAATTAATTCATAAAAAATATTTTTTATTATTTCAGCTAATTCTTTTCTTTTAAAACGGCATTTTTTAAAAACGTCCAAATATGGATTATAGATATTTTCTGATTGCATTCATCTTGAATGGTAAGTTCTTATATAGAAACTTTTCTTTTCTTTATTTTTTTCTTTTCTTTTTAAGATTATATTATAAATATAAAATAAAATTTATAGCCTAAAATAAAAATTCAGTTTCCAGTGTAAACGAAAGATTCAGGTCTTTTATCTAAGGCTTACGTTGGTTTCAAAATCTAAGAAAATATTAATTTTTAAATTTCAAACGCAAAATTTACAAGGGGGCTCACAAGTAGTCGTAAGCGTCGTAATATCTCAAAGTACGTGATTTTTAACTATGCTAAAATGTTTTCAGCCAACAAAAATCATAGAATTAGCTTTTGTTATACCATACATCCCTTAAAAGCCTTTGAACGTTATTTAACATTACAAAAATTTACGAATTTAGGACATTAACACGCTTATGATACATTGTGAATATCCTAATTGTTTATGTAAAAAGTCGTAAATCTACTTAGCCATTTAAAATTAATTTGTCATTATACAAATTTAAAAATTATGTCAACATTAACATTCAACTTTTGTATTAACTTTAAAGTAGCAAAACAACTGCCTTACCTTAAGCTCCAAGAAACGCTTACATTACTTTAAGAGTATTTACATATGTTTTATCCCAATAGAACACCGAATTATGCCTGGAATAAAAGTAAAAACTTAGAAACAGAAATCCAAACAAAAAATAAAAAGGACTCTTTAAAAAAGTATTTGAAAAAAAACTTAACATTTACATTTGTAAAATAGAAGAATTGCAAAGTAGTTTAGAAAAAAATGAAATAACATTAAAAAATACTATAAAAAAATAATAATTTAAAACCTTCCAGTTAATCCCACACTATCGGATAGTGGTGATGCTTCCATCATTACGCAGACTGTTTATGGCTTTTTGGATTTTACAACAACGATAGGCAATACAGTAATGGTATTTTCGCCACAAAGTGCTCCATCAATTGGTATGTATGATATTTAATTGAACAAAATAATATAATATGTATTCATAGTTTTTAGTTAAATTTCACTCGAATAATTAATATTTCCAAAGAAAAATATTGAAAACTTGAAAGCAGAAGTGTTTTCCACATGTCTTCGTATTTAAGATTTCCTAGGGCAGAATTCATTTCAACCCGCATACCAGCATAGTTAAAAGTTGGTAAAATTTTAATTGTTTTTGTGGAACGAAATTCGCATTCGTATAGAAATATAGAAATCGCCCCTAAAAGAATTCGGCCCCTAAATGAGTTAATTGAATTCTTCAGTTATCCAACATAGCGTGTCACACTATTTAGCAACTTAAATGTTTTTTTTTTGTTATTTACTTAGTAATTTTATTGTTTTTTTTTCAGATAAAATTGACATACCTACTAATATTATCGAAACTAAGCCTTTTATTGCAAAACCGTCGGAAGACGAAAGTATTAAGCCTACGAAAGCAACGAACTCCGTTAAGATACCGACTAGCAAACCGTTGGAGAAAAAGAACTTAAAATCCAATATTGTTGAGGCTCAAAAGAATAAAAACAACAATAATAGTATTATTAATAAAGTTACAGCGAGTAGCTCAGTAGTTGTTGCTGCACAAACGCCACAAACGCCACAAACGCCACCAACACCAACTGAACCCGTCGATGAGCCACCAACTCTTCAAATAGAAAACAATGTCTACGAATATGATTTGCTCTCACGTCAACCAGCCGAATATGCCGAAGAAACCTATCGTGTTATAAACAACAAAGCTTCAGATAAACCACGAAACAGACACAACCAGCGGCGGACCCATGACATATCATCCGAAGCCACTGTGGCGCATGAAACACCAGCAAATAGATTAAAAGCTAGTCAGGCACCGGAAAATAAACCACACTCGCCTGTCGCTGCACCTAAAGGAAAAAAACCGAAAATAAGATCAACAGCACCGCTGCGCGTACTGAAGACTACATCACCTACGTTACCTAAGTCAAGTAATAGCCCTCAAGAACAGAAAAATAATCGGCTATCCGGATCGAATAGTAGGCAGAATGGCAAGAGCAATCGCAACCATGGAAACGAGCATGAACATGTATCTATAACCGAATCGGTGGTTGAAACGTCACAAGTTAGCCAAAGTCATAAAAAAAATTCGCCACGGAGTAAGCCTAAAAGGTAAGATGTATATAAAATATTAAAAATTTATGTAGATTAACAGAGTACTCAAAAAAAAAACACCCAATTCTACTTCTACTTTCAGGAAAAGCAAAAATAATAGGTCATCAGCTGCGCACAAAAGTGGTGCAATTATTTTGGCATCCTCAGCCGAACCGACACGCAAGACATTCCGCTCAAAAGTGAGACCCTCAAATGTAGAAACACAAGTTTCGACAAGCGTTTACATGTTCAAATTGAATCGTACGCCCGGCAGATGGCAGTACACAACAACACCAAAACCGAGAATATCAATACGAAAGAGTACCGAAGGGAATACCACCAAAGTCGTAGATGCTTTTGCTGGAAATCCCAGCTTAAATATAATATCAGAAAATTCTGATTTGGAGTCTTCTGGTTCGCAAAATGGTGCTGTCGTCAATAATATTGATCAAGGTGGCAATTATCAGCATCTCGTGGAGACCTTGAACGTGGAAATTTCAACGCCAGCCGACTTCAAGGATACTTACTATGAGTTGGCGACTATCAAAACGCCATACGCTTTTCAGGTAAATGACAACCGAAATGCATTTTTATGAGTAGCTTCAAATGTTCTCAGGTTTCATACGATAGTAACTTTTTTTATCATAGAAACATTGGCGGCATGTAATTAGTTTTGAGGGGGTTAACGAGTTCAGAACCGAGCTTTATTTCGAAAATACATATGTTTTAATTCATTCGCTTCCACCCTTGCTTACAATAATGCATTGTTATATTCCAGGTCGGTGGTTTGAAAAAGACCCGCTTCATAACTGTCACTTCAACAATAGAGAAGACGTTAACGCCCGATCCAACTGAAGTACAAATACTAGATGGACCTCTAACCGAAAACATTTTAGCAACGTCAACACCAGAGCCGAACTTTATGCGCGACCCTAGCGTCACAACTCTCAAAGCTTTACACATTTCAGAGAATACAGAAACACCGAGTTTGGAAACGGTGGTCGACTCGTTTAGCACAACCTTGAAGAAGTTACGCACGCAAGTTTTACCCATTGTATATGATGTCAACAATGAGACATCGTATATAACACTCACACAAACTTATGACATCACAAGTCTTCTAACAGTGACTAAAACACTGTCACCTTTGGAGACGGATATACCGTTGAGGAGCTTTACCGATTTTGGTGCTAATCTAGATGAGGCTGGCTCGGAAATAAATCTAGAATTAGAGTTTGGCGATGAGGATAATACAGAAAGTTCCAAAGATGATAAGCCAACTCGGGTCAAATTATCAGATATAGCTGATCTCTTCGGCAAATCGTCAAACCTTACTGCCGAGGAAATTCAAAGGATAGCGCTTTGGAAATTGCAAAGTTCACAACAACAACTTCCCTCACTGAATATGCCCAGCATTCCAGCGTTTACACCGGAGAGCACACTACCATTCCCCTCCATTGCGCCCTCTATTAATCCTTTCCTGTTGCCATTGCAGCAATTCCAGACGGTAACTTCGAGTTTTGTCCACGAAACGATTGCCACTCAAACAAATAGTAAAGTTTTAAAATTAACCTTTGGCGCACGAACGGCCTACACCACAATTTTCTCGAGCGCAGTTGTGCCGACGCGTGCCACCAGTTATATCACCACAACCATTCCAGTTCAAGCGACACCACCCGCATTTCCCGGATACTTTCCACCACCGTATCCCCAATATTATCTCGGATAAGTTTAGAGATACAATTGCTAGCGGGATTCGTGGGCCCGTTTGTATTGTTGTATGTATGTATATAGTGTTAGCATCATTATTTTGTTTTCATTTGGTCCCTTATAAAAATCCTATTAAATACTCGTTCATTCCTTCACAAACAAATCGAATTTAGAAAATATGAGATTATTTCTGTGTTCGTATGGAAAAGTAGCTTATGTCGAAAGGCCGGCTTTAGTATAATGCGGCATTCCCTTTATTTTTTAAACGACAAGGAATTTTTTGATGAGACTTAAAAAGAATATTGACTTGCTAGTATCGGAACTATTTCTTGCACGTTTATTTGCTAAAAGTTGTTTAACTGCTTAACGCCCGTAAGTCATTCGCAATCGTATGCTGCGAATGCCGATTTATACTAAAGCCAGCCTTTCGACATAAGCTACTTTTCCATACGAACACAGATTTGTATAAAAAAAAATTTTGCGTATGTATTTCATAATAAAAATTACATCAATTCGTTTCATAATAAATATACATCCTTGCGTGTAAAAGAGCGCGCGGGAGTTTTAAATTTTTAGCTCCCGAGTTTTATTTTAGTACTAGCAAATACGCGGCGTGCTTCGCTTCGCCTTAAAAGGATTTTTGTGATGTTACTCCCTCTCACTACATTCAAAACTCTTACACCCAAATTCATAAAAAAAAGAAAGATTTTGTGGAGCGCGCAGTAGTTTTGATTTTTTAGCTTCTGAGTTTTATTTTAATACTAGCAAATACCCGGCGTGCTTCGCTTTGCCTTAAAAGGATTTTTCTGATATTACTCCCTCTCACTACATTCAAAACTCTTACACCCAAATTCATAAAAAAAAAAGATTTTGTGGATTTAATGGTACATTGGAAGTATAGTTACGCAATAGTCTCAATTTAGAAAAAAATGTATCCTTCTGCTCTTCCAATGCATGCACTTGCAGGTATCTCGAAAAATTATGAATGTGAAAATCTTGGTTAATAAAAGCTTCTGCAATCCACTCGTAGTTGTTTAACAATGTGGTTTGTATTCTTCCATCGCTGTAAAAAAAAGCTTTCGAAAACTCAAATTCTTTTTCCATTTACACACCCCGTTGATTGGTAATGATTAAATTTTAATCATCCAACCAAACAAAAACTAGTTTCTCATATTCTTTGCAGAATTTCATTTAGTTAACAAATAATTACACAAATACAATAAAAATAACAACAACTTAAAACACAAATGTACGATTTACAGCAAAATTAATGATAAGTTTACATATGTATGTACTATGTATTTACCATCTACTACTTCTATGATAGGCGTGATTTCGAATAACATTGCAATTGCACATCAACCGGCTGTTAAGCCCAGTACATATGTATATACATATGTACATATGTGTATGTGTG